CTGTTATGTTAAACTTATATTAAAGTTTTTCTTCATTACCCATTCAAGCCGTCTCCAGCCATTATTAGTTATAAGAATTGTTAACAAATTTCTATAAAGATAAAATAAACAATAGAAATAAAATTAAATAACAGCAAAAGGCGGTGAGAAATAGAGAAAATAATAATATATATAGGAAATCAAATCAATATATATATATATAAGAAAAATTTAGGAAAGAATAATACAAATTATATAAAGTAAGTTTAATCATGAATTTAGTTTTGAAAATATTTTCAGAGACTTCCAAAGATCAACAATCCCGGGATCGAGTTTAATACCATTTGGCGTTAAAGTATTTAACAGTGCTATCCAATAAGCTTCTTTAATTTTCCTGTTTCTGTTAGATGTAAGCTTTGTCTCTATACCCGTCAGTTTAATGTCTTCAAGAGAGTGTCCAGGCATGTTAAAGTGTTTTGTGACCGGAAGTTCTTTGTTTGTTTTTATTGTTGATTTATGGTTATTAAAACGTTTCCCCGTATAATTGTTTTGGTTGGACCTACGTTATCTAATAAATCATTGTTGGTGTTCTATTTCCAGATATTTTTAACAATGTTTAGAACATTGTTGTTGATTCGCACTTGTTCTAATGTTATAGTATAGTTCTAACACTAAGTATATCACTACATTAACATTTAATATATATTACCGATGTGAAATTATCATAAGATAAGCCATAAAAAAATAAAATAAGACATTTAAGAAACAAAATTTTACGTCAAAGGATACAATAATTTTCTAATCGTGATGAAATGAAAAACCGCTGTTACGTGCTTTATTCTTGATATAGAATTGTCTGTAGAATTATGTAAGACTGTGTGATCTGTGGCGTAGCAAGGGTTCTCAGCATCCGGTGGCGACTGCCCCCCCTCTTGTTACGCCACAGTGTGTGATACGCCAACGTTTGTAAGTTTTCATCTATATTTGCTGGGTACGAGTGTTCGGATGGAAGTTTCGTTATGTGTAACATCCCTCGCTTGTGTTTAGTTTTGTATTTTTTTTTTGTTAACGAGCATATCTTCCATTTGTTTATTTTTTTCCTCTTTAAAGTCATTGTTTGTTTGTAAGATTGAAACCGTAAATCAGTGTTAGTTGTCTATTTTTGTGTGGGAAGTGTTCTGCTGGAGCGACTTTGTGTTCCGGGATGTGTGTGTGTAAAGTTTCAAGGTTTATTCTATATATTATTTGATAAGACTACGTTTTCGGACAGAGCATCGTTTTTTTTTATTTAGTTTTTTGTCACACGTTGCTCGTGAGTGTAAGGAATGAACTACATGTCCTTTCAATGTCTCACCTGGTTTTTGTGTTATGTTCATAGTTAATTGGGTTGTTTAATGACTTTACGAATTTTTTGTTTGTGACTGTGTTGTTAATAAAAAGGTACACTCGGTGTTCATGTATATATATATATATATATATTTGTTTTCGGGTCTTTTGTTGATGTTGTGTTTGTTTGTAACTTGAAAGCGTTATCGATCTAATATTCGGGGTATTGTTTTCGCAGTTGTAGTGTTCTAGGATCTTTTTGTGCTATTTTAATGACATTAGCAGTGGATCAGTTTCGATTTAGTATTTTTAGTTCTCCTGTTGTTGTTCCCTATGACGTATAATGGTAAAATAAAGGTTTTACATGTTTTGCTATACACACAGAACCCCGTATTTGTCTGTCTTGAATTTAGGGTTACGTATAAGAATGTCAAGTTTTCTTCTGTGTTGGGTGGTTGTAGTGTGAACTTGATTAATGAGTGGAAACATTGTTTAGGAAGTAGTAGAACTGTTGTAATGTGAATTTGATTAATGGGTGGAAATGTTGTTTAGGACGTAGTAGAACTGTTGTAGTGTGAACTTGTTTAATGGGTGGAAACATTGTTTAGGCAACAGTTCTACTACTTCAAGTTCACACTAGTTTCCATCCATTAATTTCCTAAACAATCAAGTTCACACTACAACAGTTCTACTACGTTTCCATCCATTAATCCTAAACAATCAACAGTTCTACTACTTTTTCCACCCATTAATCAAGTTCACACTATCCTCATTACCGGATCAACTGTTTCAACAATATACGACCTCTAGTTCATCAACAATATCCTCATTACTGGATCAACTGTTTCAACAATATAAGACCTCTAGTTCATCAACAATATCCTCATTACTGGATCAACTGTTTCAACAATATAAGACCTCTAGTTCATCAACAATATCCTACTTACTAGATCAATTGTTTGAACCACGTTTAAACAATACAAAATTTATAGTGTCAACACATGACTGCAACAGAAGCAGTATCGTGGCTACTGGATCAAGTGTTAAAACTGTATTTGAAGTGTGTACCATCCCAACTAAACAGTACAATAAACCTCTTCGACGAAATACACTCTTCAACACGAATGGTATTCGATAACTGAATTTTGTTTACCTTGGACGTAGTCACCTTGTATCCATCCACACCTACAGAAGAAGATATAGATAGCATCATTAACATCACATCCCCACACAAAGAATACACCTTTCCAGTGAAAATCACCTTCGAAACCATCAGAATTTTTTTTTTATTTCTCTTCAACAACTAGTTTAAATTCGGGGACATTGTGTACCTTTGTAATTAACTACAAACAAAATCTATCAGCAGTCACACTTAGAGTTAATATTCATGGCAGCAGTCACACTTACAGTTAATATTCATGGTAGCAGTCACACTTAGAGTTAATATTCATGGCAGCAGTCACACTTAGAGTTAATATTCATGGCAGCAGTCACACTTACAGTTAATATTCATGGCAGCAGTCACACTTGTAGTTAATATTCATGGCAGCAGTCACACATACAGTTAATATTCATGGCAGCAGTCTCACTTACAGTTAACATTAATGTAAACACTACAAACCAATGTCCTCGACATTTGTAAAAACACGATTTAACTCCAAATATCGGATAAATCGATATTTCCTAAACAATGTATAAGACCTCTAGTTCATCAACAATATGTAAAATCAAAATCTCTGAAGATACTCTGTGGAACGTTAGTCCTTCCACTACTATTTAATTATGAATCATCTATTTGTCTCACAAACTCATCAACCGCAAAAAGCATTAGTAGCCACAATACAAAAACCTCCTTTCTA